AGGGGGACCTACGGAGAGCGCTGGTGTTCATCATGACGCCTGCAATGGCAAAGGCCACCAGAAAGCGGAAGAGGCAGTACACGGGGAATGTGGGGGCGAAGGCAGCTGCTGTGCCCCACACGGCCATCTGAAGGTAGCTCCAGGTCAGCACCAGCTTGCGCCCAAACCTGCAACACACACACCAGGAGGGTGGCTGGGTTCACAGTGGGCCACTGTGTTGGCCACGGGGGTCTGGGTCACCAGAGCCCACCCTATGTTTGTCCACTGAGCAGAGATGGATGCTAAAATGACACCTGGAGCAGACGCACATTCTTCATCCACGGAGAGCCTGTGAGCACAGGTGGCACGAAGGCACTTTGGGCAGGAAATGAGTTCCCTGTCAGCGGGAGCATCCAAGCAGCAGCTGTAGGCAGGCATGTGGCTGAGCAGGTTTCAGCAGTGAATGTTTGAGAAGAGTGTGACCCTCCACAACCCCAGAGGAGAGTTGCTGAAACCAAGGCCCAGAGAGGGCGCGAGCTTTGCTCAGCAGCATACCTAGAGGGGGTCAGGAGAGGGACCCCCACGCAAGCATTTGGGGGTGCAGCGAGGGCAACGGGGCCTGCCTGGGCTGGGGTACGCACCTGTCGGAGGTTGGGCCACACACAGCAGCTCCCACCAGGATTCCAGCCAGGAAGATGGACTGGACCATGGGCTTCAGGGCCTGAGAGTCACACACCAGGTCCCACTGGGAGGAGAGATGGGAGGAGCTGAGCTCAGGAGGTTGGAGGGGGAAGGGGAGAAAGCCCAGTCGGGAGGGGACAGAGGACCTAGAGAGGAAGGCCCCGAGCAGCTGAGTATGGGTGGCTGACGAGCAGCTGAGTATGGGTGGCTGACGGGGTGACCTCTAGGGTCATAGGGCAGGGCCCTGTGGGACAGCAAGGGCTGTCCCGCCTTGCCTAAGCCCCTTCATTGCTTCCTGTTGCCTCTGGTCAAGGATCAAGCCCTCTGTGGCCTCATCTGCCCTCCCCTGCCTTGCCCCAAGCGAGCACCTCCTCCCACCTCCCTCTGGTTCTTTAGAAAGAGGCCCTTCCTGCTTGCTGGGATGGGCCACCCTTCCTACTTTCCCAGGTTTGTCTGATGCCTCCAGGAATCCAGTGAATCTTCTCTGAGTGGAGCTGGGCTCACACTGGAGAGGGCTGCCTGAGTCACTGCTGTTAAGTGGCAGCAAGGCCAGCCTGGGTGTCCAGGGTGCCTACTCAGTGCTGCCTGCTCCTGTACCAGCAGGGGCCTCCGTAGTCTGTTTCCTGCCACCAACCCCCTCTGTAGGGCGATATGGCCAAGGAGAGGGTGGCTGGAAGCTCACCTGAGAGTGAGGAGACCCGTAGAGGTGGTCCCTCCTGGGAGTGGGCCATTCGGAGTCCAGCCAACTATGAGTAGTGACTTTGGCCTATACGGTGCCAGGACTTGGGGAGGGTGTCAGGAGAGGCCCTTACCTCAGCCACGATGGTGGAGGTGAAGGTGCTGCGGTCGTAGACCCAGCCGTCCACACACGGCTCCGTGGCAGCCTCGCTCCAGTTGGTGGCCGTGGTGTTGGGGTCCAGGAGCTGCCACTGTGGATGGCGGAAGCGGCGACACTGGTGGGGCTCCTGGTTGGGACCCAGTGGGATGGACACGGCCAGGAGGGCCTCGGGGCCCAGGGCACCAGGGTCACTGGCCTGGGCGGTGCTGTTGTCCAGGAGGGGCACCCAGCAGCGGTGGCTGGGCACGGCGGCCGAGAAGTTGTCCACAAGTATTTGGAAGGGTACGAAGATGGAGGAGAGGAGGAGAGTGAAGACCTGTAGGGTCTGGAAGAGGCCCACGCCCCCAGCTCGCTCCAAGAGCTCAGCGAACGCCATGGCCAGGACGGTCAGCGCCTAGGGCAAGTCTCTTTGGGAGTCGGCAACCCGGTGAGTGTCTGGCCTGCTGCAGGGAACCACTAGCAAACGCAGGACCCCGGGCCACCAGACCTGCCCTTGCTCACCTCTCTGGCCAGGTGGGTGTGGGCGGCTGTCCAGCAATCAGACGAGTCAGTCTTGAGATGACCCAGATGCTTCTAAGAAGCTCCTCTTTACCCTGCTTCCAGGACTGACGGGGTGGACGCCCTACCACTCTGGAGAGGGGACATCGGGGGATACAGCTCACTGTACCTAGGCTGTGTGGGGGTGTCTGAAGTGCCCTGGTTCTCCAGCACCAAGAGTGAGAGGTCAAGTAGCTTTAAAAAAATAANGGAGGGGAAAGGCAAACGCAGATATATATTAAAGACAAATAACCTAGATACCGCAAGCAGCTGCCTGGGGCACCCGTTGGGCGCGGGCAGCGGGGAAGAGGGAGCAAGGCATTACCCGCAGACTGCTGAGGTCACTTCTCTGCCCACGGGTTCCCTGTTCCCCCAGGTTTTTTTTCCTCTCTTTGTTAACAAATGTGTCTGAGTCTTGGAAAACACCCCAACCCCGGAAATGTGTGGGAAAAGAAAACAAAAACTTTCCAAATTCAAAGGTCCTGTGCTGTTTGTTCAGGGTGGGGACTGCTGGGACATTGGTCCTGGCTCTGGGTTGGGGTGTGGGCCCAAATTGGGGCCCATGAGAGCTGGTAAGTAGTCCCCAGACTTTTGGACCGAGCATGGCTTTGGGCTCCTGGAGCAACTTGTCTTTGTCACAGTCCAGCTGAGGACGGGGACAGGAAACAGACCCCAGGCTTGTGGGTGAAGGCTGGTCTCAGGCCCTGGTTGGGTCAACCAGCCTTAGGCTTAGCTTCTCTGCCGGTGCACAAATCCCCAGAGGCAGGAGCGTAGTTTTGCTGCCTAGTAGTTGCCACTGCTCTTGGTGGAGGCAGTGTTATTCCTGGGTGGCGTGAACTTCCGTGGCGGGTCCAAGGTCCCAAGGTGAATCAGTGGCTGAGTCCACATTTGCCCCCGGTTCTAATTCCAGAGTCTCTGCTCCTTCTGCACTTCTAGGGGTTTGGACCCTGCCCCTGCCACCACCTCCACATCCACTCTGGCTGACCATGGGCAGTTTCTGGGGCTATGGGTGGAAGTAGAGCCAGCATATCTTATCTCCAGGAAAACACCCAGTCCCACAGACAGCCACGTGGCAAATTCATCCTTCGTGGAGACACTAAACAGGCGCATGGGTCCAGACACTGAGAGATTGCTCCATATTTGTGAAGCCTCGGTCACCAGGAGCAGAATTTGCAAGGTGCGGTTGTAGTTGAGGACCTGAGTGTGTAGGCATCCTCGGGAGAGCAGAGTGGGGGTGGGTCTGCGTTTCCCGAGTGGCAGGGGTGTCTCGCAATGTCACTGGACATAGGAGACGTGACTCAGCCACGCTTCTATCACTCAGATCTCCGCCTTCTGCTTGGAGCTTGCCTCCCCTCTGGGCTCTGCTTTCTCACGCCCTTGGCCCTCCACCGCCCTTCACTGCCCAATTCAGCTTCCTGAGCTTCTATCCACGGCGGGGCTCTGCTGCTGGTCAGCTCATTCTCATGGCATTTTCTAGTTCGTAAGCCTGGTCTATGTTTAGGCCTGGAAACCTCCCGGGCCCTTGGGCTCGATGCCTGCCAGGATCCCCACCCAGGTTGGCCTCATCTTCCCCTTCCCTCCATTTTGTGGTGGAACCCTCCCCACTGTAGGGTGTGCCCCCAGAGG